GTTAGTGACATTGGGATAAATTCAGAGAACAGTATCAAATACCTGGGAAATAAGTTTGATAAGCGGTTCACTTGACACAAGCATATATAAGAAAAAAAATGTTAGTTGTACGAAAACACTGCAGTGCTTAAGACAACTTTTTAAACACAATAATCTTAGCGCTAAGAACAGAAAGTTAATCTACATCCAGATAATCAGGCAGGCACTTCTCTACGGGTGTGTGGCGTATAGTAAACCTATGAACTCTACTAAGCTGCAAGTTGCTCAAAGTCAGATTCTCTGAAGACTTTTCAAAATGTCATGGTGTATCCGCACGAACGATATGCTAAGAGACATTAGAATAGACCCGATCCAAAAATACATAAGGAACAGAGCGCTGAAGCTATAAGCGAAAACTGACAGGCTCTCGTACATAGCACTATCTAATGTGAGAGTAGGCACTAGGCGTAAGGGGTGATATGCAGATCTTAGATCAGTTATCGAATAATTAGCAAAACTAGTGTGGAGTAAATAAATTAGTCAAAGATAAGGGTGGGACTGTGTAGAAACCCTCCAGTTAACAAAGAACAAATGTGCCCAGTTGCACTGACTCGTAAAAACCTCAACATAAAACAAAATCCAATACTCGTATTTATACAAAATTTTTTTAAAAACCATATGATATCTTTACACAATTATATAATCTATTACATATAAAATCTATACAAAATCCATACAAAATTTATGCAAAATCCATACCAAATAAAATCTATACAAAATCGATGCAAAGTCTATACTAAATCCATACCCAATAAAATGTATACAAAAAATCTATAAAAAATCCTCACCAATTTCTTACAAAATACGTTCAAAGTGAGGTATGGTTCTTATATACAATATATATATAATACAATTTATACAGATTCCATATCAAATACATATAAAATCTATACAAAATAAATACAAAATTTATACAAAATCCATAATAAATAAAATCTATACAAAATCGATATAAAATCTGTACTAAATCCATACCCAATAAAATGTATACGAAAAATCTATAAAAAATCCCCACCAATTTCATACAAAATAAATTCAAAGTGAGGTATGGTTCTTATATATAGATATCTTCTATATAGATAGATAAATATAAAGTATATTTACAATTTTTGAAAAAGTCTATTTTGCGCAAAATACCTTTTTTAACTAGGATCGTGAGTGAAAATTTAATTGTTCATTTTAGCAATTAAAAGTGAGATAATTGAGAAATTTGATATAAGCAACAAGCGTTTACACTGCAATAGCTATAACATAAATATCAAAAATGAAGTTGAGTAAATAAATTACTTTAGCACTGCGCACATTTCAGCTACATTTACTGGCTACTCTATTGCATACAAGTGGACTCTAGTGACAGTAGTCAGCTACTGTTATTCGCTACCGTGGTCAACGACTGTAGTTGGCTACTGTGACCATCGTATGTTAGGCATTGTGTTATGTTGAAGAAATATGACAGAAACAGAGTATTGTCTTTTATAATTACTATACGCATATCGAAAAGTTCTCTTTTAATATTTATTTCAAGATTGGACAGTTTTAGATTGGATAGTTCAAGATTGGACACTTCAAAATTGGACAATTTAAGATTGGATAGTTCAAAATTGGACAGTTTCCAAAATGTTCTGTTATTCTGTTTGGATACCTATAAGATTTAGTTATTTCTGATATTAGTGTGATAAATTGTTAGCAACAGTCGTAACGTCCCTAAAATGAGTGTAAAGCAGATGTCACACTAATTGATTCAGTTGCCCATTGCCAGCAATTTACCGCTTACTTGTTAAGTTGTTGTATTTTCATCAGTACTTGCAACGCGTAATCAGTAGCAACAACTTGTTGCAATGTGAAAGCTTGCAATTTTTTTTTTCTTATGTATTTTCTTTACTGACGTATGCAGAAAAAGCAGAAAAAACAAGCAAAAATTGAAATATAAAAAATTCCACTCGCACTTTTACTTGCCAATTGCTTGTATCTTTTTTATGCTTTAAACAATTTGCTTATAGATACATATTTCAACATATGTATATAAGCATCATCAGTACATAAGATGTATATAAACAAGTAATCTCCTGTTTATGCTGTTGCCACACATTGTTTCATATGATTGCTGCAACAAAAATTAAAAGTCTTGCATACACACGCGTTGATTTGCGATATATCTCAACGAAAATGCAATTAAAAAAAATAATCATAATAATTTAACTGATAATTGTCGTTGGTAAGTTAAATTAAAAAATATTTCAACAAAAACAAGACATCATAAAAATTTATGAGCAGAAAAATATAAGCGCTCAGAAGTCTGAAGCCATAGACATAGATATAGACAGAGAAAAACAGATTTCGAGAGAGGCAAAGAGATAAATTATAAAAACAATTAATCTACAAAAAGTGAAAGAAAAGTATTTTGATTGATTTTATAATGACAAGATAAATAAATTAAATAGTTGATTGCTTTATGCAATAGTAGTTTCGGCAACATTTTCAGTTAGTCCGTATTATATTATGAAGTAAAATTGCTTCCGAAGTGAAAATCGTTCTCATATGTGTTAATAGTTACAGTAGTATAAGCAAAATTTATTAATCAAAGATATAATTACAATTAAAAAAAAATTGTAAAGATAATTATAAAGTTGATAAGCGAAGAATTTTCAGTTATATCTGTTCCGTGCTGTCATTACTCAGAATTCGCTGATTGTTTTAATCAACTCTTGATATGACCAACATAACATACTCTTGCAGTTTAGATACAATAGTTCTAATTTGTTAAGAATATAATGCTGTGCTCTTTTCTTAGTTTTATTTTTTTATAACGTGTCTAGCAGTAGCTATTGCTTGTCTCTGATTATTATTATTATCTCTGCATAAGAGAGAAGTGGGGACATTTCGTGGTAAATTTCTGTCATCAGTAGAAATCAAGAGCTCTTCTCCAGATTTAGTTCTAGAATTTGTTTACAAAGCTTTAAAGGGCTTTGTGAATTTGATACAGTTCGGTACTCTTTTGGCCACAACACCAGCTATTTTGCAAATTCACGTCATTAGTTTAAAAAAAAAAAAGAAATAGTGTGAGCATATTCTCTTGGTCCTCTTTCTTGGTCATCCAGGACCTCTCTCTAAAGTGAGCATTTTAGGATTTGCCAAATGTTGAAAGTGAATTTTAAAAATCTCTGCGTTTTTAATAGTAGAATAGGCAAATAGGCCTAAATTAATCCTTCAGATCGCCGATATAAATAACCTAACCTGGACCTAACCTAGTTGTAGTAAATTGATAACGTTATGTATTAATTTCTTTATCTTTCCTAGAAATATGAATGTATATATTCTATTTTTCAATCTGATGTTATGGCTTTCCAATCCTGTAAGCTTATTTTATAATTATTGTCTACTATATAATCAATGTATCCTTATCTGGTAAACTTGTTAAAGTCTGTGTTTTTTTTAATCGTCTAAGAATCATTAATGCATGATTTTATGCTTGACTTATAAAATCTTATTTTTAAGTTTTGAGCTGTTAAAGCATTAATGTATAATGAAATCTTTAAAAGTTACTTAATTACAAATTCAGGGAACCTAACATAATATATTGGGTTCATAATATCATCATAACCACTATATAAGTCCGCATATTATCATAAAATGAAATAACTAACACTTCACAAATAGACTTAATTATATTATTTATCAAAATTTGTTTATATTACTTTTAATATATAAACAATAATACATCCACTGGAATTATATCTTTACTTGTGTCGAGATACAACACTGTGTGTCACGTCTTCTGATTGTCACTGGAAAGCAGCAAGCGAAGCCTATTACTTTCTATATTTTCCTGCAAGCTGAAAGAGTAATATTTAACACTAAGTAATATTTATAAACTTCTTAATAGTGTAATATATTACAATACAATATTT